GGGGGGCCCCCTAAAATTTTTGGGGGGGAGGAGAGGGGGGGGGAGCACCGGGGGGGGGGGTTTTTTTTTTTTTTTTTTTTTTTTTTTTTTTTTAAAGATGACCGGTAAGGGGATCTTAACCCTTGGCTTGGTGTTGTCAGCACCACGCTCAGCCAGTGAGCTAACCTGGCCATCCCTATATAGGATCCGAACCCGGGGCCTTGGTGTTATCAGCACCGCACTCTCCCGAGTGAGCCACGGGCCGGCCCTAGCTGGGGGTGGTTTTTGACCTTTGTCTAAAGTACCCTGCAACCGTCCCCATAATGAATGGCTGGCATGGGGGGGTGGCTGGCAGCACAGTGTACCCCAGGCGAGTGTCAGTAGACAGGTGCCGTCCAGCTCCCACGTGTCTTTTCTGCAGCCGGAGTCAGGGTGGCTATGGTGACCGGAGCTCGGGTGGGTCCTACAGAGACAGCTACGACAGTTACGGTAAGTCACGCTCCAAGGGCGCCACGCTGCCGTGGCCTGCGGTGGGAGCTGTGTACAGCTTGGTGCCCTCTGCGAGCAACTTAGGCTTGATGCTCAGATCTTGTCACCGTGTTTGCCCATAAAGAACAAGTCTGTCCTCTCGGAGCTATTTCTGCCACAGAACATAAAAGCCAAATCAGACTGACCAGAAACGAAAGGGAGAGAGAGGGACCTGCTGAGCAGCCCAGCATAGGTGCATGCGTGTCCGCCCGGTCACGGCCTCCCTCGGCTGTAGGGGGGGTTGGTTGCTCCCAAGCCGCAGGGTCGAGCCCTCCAGGTCTGGACTCAGGGGTGTGAAATGCTGCCTCTTGTGTGCTTCAGTGCCTTTACACTGTGCCTGCTTCTTGTCCTCAGCTACACACAACGAGTAAAAATCCTTCCTGCTCGAGATCGTCCTTCCAATGGCTGTATATTTAAAGATTTTGGGAGCTTCGCTGAATCGTTCATGTGTAGTGAACACACCTCCTTGTATGCCCACTTTTGTAGTTATTTGAGTTCTGATCTTGTCACACCCAGCCTGCCTGCTTCTGACCCCCGACGTGGCCTCATCGGTAGACTTTTTTTTTTTTTTTTTAAAGGAAGCGCTGTCCGTTTTTAAGGGTTTTAAAAACGTTTTGAAAAGCTCTTCAGATTTTCTTTTTTTTTTTTTTTTACCGTGAGCCATGAATTTTTAGAAAAAGTCGTCGGGGGTTATGTGGGTTTGGGGTTTTTTTTTTTTTTTTTGGTTTTCGTTTTAGGTTCTTTTATTTTTTGGTTGTGTTGCCTTTTTTATCTTTTTAGTGGGGTCGGCCCAGTGAGGTTGGGTGCCCCGGTTCACTTCGCTCTGAGATCGAACTCTGAATCCGCTCTGTCGGAAGCTGAGCAAGCTGTGGCTTTTTTCCAACTCCATGTAATGTTTCTGAGTGTAGCGTGGTAGGACACCGTGCTGGGGTGGCAGAGGCTGCCCTGGAGCCCCGGCCTGTACACCCATCTGTGCCCTGTATGCCCACGGTAGACGTGCAGACGTCCCCGAGAGGTTCTTGAAGATGTTTATTTATATTGTCCTTTTTTATCGGAAGACGTATGCATCCTCCATTGATGTTGTATTTGCAGTGGCTAAGGAATTCTTGTATGCAGTTTTCTTTGGCTTTACGAAGCTGATTAAAAGACCGTGTGAAACGAACCTTGCTCTGACAATTTCCCTTTCATTGCACAACACACTCCCTGCTGCGGCTGTCGCAGTCAGACCTGAGCACAGCAGTTTGAGGAGTGGTAGGTCTGTAAGTCCGACTTGAGACTTGCAGAGAGGTAGACGAGGAAAGGCAGAGTAAAGCTGACTGCCATCGGTCCCGTTAGGTGAGCCAGGTGGGTGACGGGAGCGGGCAGCTCGGACTGCAGGGCAGCCCTGGGAGGCTGCTGGTGGTGGCAGCCAGAGAGCTCAATGGGGCGGGCCACTTAGTAGGGACAGTGTACATGCGGGCACCTGAAACTGACCTGGACAGCCTTGGTCTAGAAGCAGGCCAGAGTGGACAGCACATGGCGTCCCTGGGCGACTGCAGGCTGACGGGCTCGTTAGCTAGCTCTGCTGCTGGTTCACAAGTTCTGAGCGTTCTCTGCTAGCCTATGGAAGCTGCAGCCCTCGGAGGACAGAAGTGTTGTGCGCCCAACAGAAACCTCTGAGACGCAAGCTGCTCCCTTGGCTAGCTCATATGTGGAGATAGCCCTGTAATTCGAGGTAACGCCTTTCGCTCGTGTCCACATCCCTCCTCTTGTTGAGAGCTCATTTGAAAGTAAAGTTATGTACCCGGGGAATGTTCCTTTGACTGTTTTTGTTTTTCCTTTTTTTTTTTTTTTTTATTTTTAAAAATTAAGCTACACCTAAAGTCAGGCCTGGCTGTTTGCCCTTCCCCGCTTTCGGCCAGGTGAGCGGCTGCGGGCAGACGCCTCGCTCATAGGTACTATCCGTAAGCAGGATTGGAGACCACCGAACACCCTGCCTTTTGGATTTTTTGTTCATCAATTGACAGTCTTTTCCAGACCTCCTGAGTCATGCTCCTAACTGGCTTTCTCTGATGTCTGTGGCCACCATTAGTTTTTTTCCCCGGAACCTTCACCGGTCTCTAAGCAGCTACATCTCAAGTGGGCAGCTGGCTCTGCTTTAAGGGTGGAACGTGGCTCTGGCCGTATCTCCACAGGTGCAGACCCGCCCTGGGCACGCTGGCCCTTGACGGTGCCTCTGACGTCATGGCCCTGTGACTAGCTTGAGACCCTCTTGGGTGCTGTGGATGATTTTGGGGGAGGCAGGGAGGGGCAGCCGTGAGCCCCAGCACGGACATCAGAAATAACGCTCCTTTGCTTTGACAGGTTGAAGGGGACCCAGCTGGGACACAGGGAAGGCTGGCCTGAAAGCAGAGATGACCTGCAGGGTCACCGTCCCAGGAGGGACTTTACCTGGAATCACAGTCAGAGACCCAGCTGCCTGCTCTTCAGGCTTATCCCCTGTAAGTGCTTTTGGGGTGGGCAACATGCAGCCCTGAGGCCTTCTGTTGCTAGTGGTGCCTGGGCCCGCTTGCCCTCCTGCACCTGGCCTTTCTGCTGGTTCTCCTCTCCTGGACTCGTGCTCCTCGTGATCCCACCTGGGGAGCAGCTTTCGGGCTGGGAGGGGGGGCTTTCGACGAGGGCGTGTGCCGGGCCCTGTCCTCTCCGCCTCAGCCCTGCTCCCCGTTCCCGCAGGCGCTTCGTCAGCAGGCTGCGGGTGCTTCCAGCAGGACGAGCATCCTGTGCTGGGTGTGCTAGCGGCCGTCGCAGCAGCAGGTCTCGCCCGCGGCAGGGCGACACTAAGGAGAGCTGGATTTGAATAAATGGCCCATGTGTGCACCCACAAGGCGCAGTGTGTGGTTTGGGGTGCGGCGTGAAGGGTGGGCCCCGGGAGAGGTGGCGGGGGCGCACGTAGAGGATAGCCGCTCGGGCAGGGGCTGGACAAAGGAGCACCGCGCGGTCACCGACCGGGAGGGAGCTCGCCACCCGCTGAGCTGCCCGGCTTGGCGGAGCAGCAGGTCGGCCCTGAGCGCAGGCGGTGGCCAGGTCGGGCGGGACTGAGGCTATGGCATCGGATGGACAGGCCCAGGCCGGCAGGGGCAGTGGCGCGGCCGCGGGGTACTGTGGGAAGGGCAGGCTGGCGCTTCCGGGACGGGCCCCGCCCCCGCGGGCCATTGGTCGCGCACAAGAGTGACGGCCGAGGGGGGCGGGGCCGCCAGCGCTTCCGTCGGGCCATGGGGCCGCGCGTGCTGCCGCCGTTCCTGCCGCTGCTGCTACTGCTGCTGTCAGCGCGGCTGTGTCGGGCACAGGAGGCCGCGACGGCGCCG